GGGAGGAGAAACAAACGGGGGGGGGGGGGGGGGGGGGGGGGCAGCTGCCCCCCCTGCCCCCCCGGAGGCTACGGCCCTGCTAAGGATCCTGAATTAACCGGTATATCGGACCACACTACCCGTGTTCAAGGTGTGTGTCATATCGCATTTCGGAGTATAACACCCCAGAACAAATTTTGTAGGAAGAACGCGGGCTCATCCACGCTCGGCTGTCACCTTGATTGGATAGAAAACGATTGTCGCAAAATCGCTATATGATTTTAAAACCTGGTGCATAAATTTGAAAACCACCTAGAACAACCTTAGACTGTAGGCCTACTCTTACTTTAGAGTACTCTATTTTATTGTCTCTATGGGGGTATATGGGGACTTTACGACATTCGGTTTGAATGCTTTAACCACTTTTGATAGGGCTTTTTTTGCATCGTATTTGATTAATGTGGCAGTTTAAGGTTGTTCTAGGTGGTTTTCAAATTTATGCACCCGGTTTTAAAATCATATAGCGATTTTACGACAATCGTTTACTATCCAATCAAGGTGACAGCCGAGCGTGGGCTCATCCTGTCGGTGTACTCAGAAATGCGATCTGACACACACCTTGAACACGGGTAGTGTGGTCCGATATACCGGTTAATTCAGGATCCTTAGGTGCTGAGACTGGTAGTTGGGTAGGCCTGAATGGGACCCTCATAAAAAACTCCGGACTCTACAGGCGAAAGTAATGCAGCATGGCTAGAAGAAAAATTGTTGCGTGAACTGATAAAATTATCAATTTTCACCAAGTTTTTCACCACCAAATTTTCAAATACTAACAATGGTATGGTGACTAAATGTAAAAAAGAGCCTTTTCTTCATTGGAGACCAAATCCAAATAGGTATGAATATGAAGATTTTTCATGACTTTTTTCATTTTTTGCACACAATATTTTACCACCAACATTCAAATATTTCCAATATATTCTTCATGATAAAGTATACTTAAGGGAAAGATGTCTAAATGATAAACATATATCAAATAAATAACTTTTTCATACTAGGGGAGGCATTGGGTGGTAAAATACTTTTTTAATTTTCTTATTTTCACATCAAAATTTTCATCTGCAAACTAAGAAAAAGTGCCAATGTATCCTCCATTATGCATACTACAATATAAAAGTCATATACTCAAAAGTCATATATAACATCTATTAAGTATTGAGGGGGGAGTCAAAATTTCATGAGGGGAGTCAAGTTTTCATTATGAAAATTTAACTGGGGAGTCATATTTTGTGTGAGTCAGATTTTCATGGTACACAGGTACTCCTTTTAGGTGACCCGTAGTAATAAAACTTTAATTACAATAGGCTGCCACCCCCCAAAGTGCACTGATCCAGGAAAATGACCAAAGGATGGGGTCACAGGATACATGATAAAGCTAAGGTGAACCACTTAATGTAAAAAAGTGAAGGAAAACATAGCGTTATCATACTCTAGGTTTTCCAAAATAATAATATAATAATAATAATGATAAATAAATAAATAAATAACTCAAGGAATCTGAGTAAATGTATAATGCGCTAGTGCAAAAAGTGGCAATTATTGGGGTATGATGTAGCCTCCGTTCAACGTAATCTCTCCCTTCTCCTCCTGTGAACTTTATATATAGATCTTAGTTGACTGAAAGTCGAAATGTGCAGTCTTTTGAGTGGGCATTAACTATGAAAACATATCTTCTGTAACTTTTAAGTTATAGGCCTACTGAAATTGAAATTAAAGAAAAAAACGACAAAAATTATCGTTTATGTATCCAAAAGTTATTACTGATCATTTTCGTTGTGGCATTAAATAATTTCTATGTTCGAGTGTGAACTAAATTCAACAGGAGTTCACAGGCAAATACCACCAAACGACCAACAAGAATAAAAAAATTAAGTTATTTGTACAAGGTCTTACAAGGTCAGTAACGGGGAGGATTATTTATACTCTACATATAGCCTACTGCTTGCGAGGGGGTAATGTTAAGTCTGGTGGATTCCGTGACCAGAGAAGGGGTGTACCATTTCGCACCCCAGAGGCTTAAGTAATATTCATATAATTAATTCAATTAATTAATATACTAGTAAACAGACTTGTAGCCAGCAATGTTAAATGCGGGAGTAGGATCTTGATCTTTCCAAAAAAAAAAAGTCATGTTTTTTTTTACCTTCTTAGTTGACCGAGATTGAGAATTGGCATAAAATCTAGATCAACCTTTGATTCAAAGGGGACCATTTGCAGCCAAAAGGACAATTTCACATCCCCCTCCTCTCTCTTTCTGTAGGCTTTAGGGTCTACTTACCTAAATCCCATTGTATTTCACGAGTTTAAAAAAAGCAACGAACAACGCAGTTGTATTATGTTAAGGAAAGGATTATTTGGATGCTTTGATATTCGGATTAAATTGGCAATTAGCCTACAGGTGTCCCGCTCTTACATGGCTTAGGCCCCTACATATGCACCTTAGAAACTCACAACGATGACAATTCGGAGCTTTTGCTTGCGCCTACGCTACATGAAGAGATTAATCAAGCTGCTGGGGATCATCTCATTGTTTTATTTCCTACGAGAGGTTTCTTTCCAGATAGCAAAATCCTTGAACCTCCTTGGTAAGTCTATACGTGGAAGTATATCTATACCTCCCTAATGGCCTATACTATAGCTAGGGCCCCGTTTTAAAACGATTTTATTGAAAATAATCTTAGTCAACGTAAACGCATTCTACAGTGGTCTTCTACGCTTCTTTCCTCTACTGACATTTGGTCACCGGATGGCATTATAGCAACATTAATGTGGCAAAATGAACACTTCTGTTGTAAGTTTTTCCCCCTGTTGCCTAAACAAGTACCGATATGAGTAAACCTCTCTATCGGTATAGGACCTAGCTATGCTTACCTACCAAATCTCTAGCAAGCACTTTGCTAAAAAGTCCCATATTCCAAATAGCCCCACAGCTCCGCGGTGTGACGCAGTTTTGATTTATCCATTTACTTAAAAAGCATATGAGAAGTCTTTCAGTTACAAACACGGAGTACAGATATCAGTGGAAATTGAAACAACGAAACCCCATAAAACGAATCCTTTTAAACGCGTGCCTTCTCCTCGGTAGAGAAGAACGGACGAGGACATAATAGTACGACTACGCCCGTTATGCACGTGACCGTGTGAAATATCCCTGACCCTATGGCAATTGGTATTTTGTCCATTGTGGTGAACGCGAATCTATGTGCAAGGACCGGGAATGCCTAAAAGTTTATTGGCCTATCCAGGTGAACGCGCTACACGGTTTGGGCGGGAGGGGGGGGGCTATTGGGGGGGGGGGGGGCGGGCGGATTTAACACTTCACTTAATATAGCACCGAAAAAGATCTTTCATGAATGTCAAAAAAGTACAATCTGACTTTATATGTCGATAACAATCCTATCTTAAGAATTAACTAAAATAATACTGTAAATCATTGTTGTTAATTTGCCATTTAAATCTACGACACGAAGAAGCGACAAGAATACATAAAGGACATCGCAAGTTATACCCCCTTTACACTGGACGGCGTCCTTTCAGCGTCCTTTCTGCGACCATGAAATTTGGCATCGCTGTGGTCTTAATAAGGAGGCACAAGCATCGATTTTGTATCAGAATGAATGCTCAATGATCGGCCAGTTGTCGGCCGTAAAGTATTATTATTTTTTAACTCTCAAATGGGGCCGAACTGCTGGACGCAGAAAGGACGCCGTCCAGTGTAAAGGGGGCTTTAGCCATCGTGCGTCTCTCAGAAACCAAAAAGAAGTCGACATCTCAAAAGTGCTCATATACCTTCTAAAACAAAAGGTAGCCCCTCATCGCGGCCTACACCCCTGGTCACCCTCAAACAAGTAGACAAAAGAAAGGGGTAAGAAAGCAGTGGCCTAAATGTTGACATACCTGACCACTGAAGTGTTGAACAGCACTGGACACTATACAGTTACCAATGTAAATACACATGCTAGCTGTAATACAATGCATGAGTAACTGCGCACATGAGTATGGCAAGTTTTCATATATATGAACCTGATGAAGGTATTGTGGTCAGTCTGCTGGCAGTATGAGGGTGTGGAGGTTAAGGCTGCCCAGCGTGTCCAGTAGGGTCAAGCGCGTGCTGTGGTACCTGTGTGTGGTCACCGTCCTGGTGGCTGTTAAGGTGGTGTTCTTCCCTGCTGCTGAAAATGAACAGCATGAAGTGGAGGCGAGACTGCAAATTCCAGGTAAATGGGCGTTTCAAGCTTCATGAAGAGGTAATACCCCCTCCACCCCCCTCATCTCTCTCTCTCTCTCTCTCTCTCTCTCTCTCTCACACACACACACACACACACACACACACACACACACACGCAAACTTTCGCACGCACATAATCTAAAGAATAAACACTTTTATACTTCCAGACCCACCCCCTCCCACGACAGGGGTCATTATCCTCACGTACCAGAGAAGCGGATCAACATTCGCGGGAGAGCTGTTCAACAGGCATCCCAAATCTTTCTATCTCTTTGAACCCCTCTGGGGGATATACAGGGCCATGGAGAAGGAGAAAATACTCAATTTTCCCGACAAATCAATGCGGTAAGCACTATCCAATCCACACTAAAGTTCGTTCGAATCAGATACACCATAAGAACGCCATAAGGGGTTTAGTGAGTCCTTTCACAATGCCACATCGTTAAATCTAGCAATTTACTTTGTCCTTTAAGTCCGTCCGATAGGGGTTGCTGGGGTAATATTCGCCTTCAACTATCAAAGAACATGAGTAGGCCTATTCTACTTTATTATCCCATTTAAATTGCCCTGCCCGTCTTGTTTACGAACAAAGTCGTTTCATCTGAAATATTTGTAATGTCTATCCTTACGTTTTTAGGGATAATTCTGACACAATGAAAACCAGCGTAAATTAAAATAGGACTACAGTACTGTTGTAAAATCAATAATAGGCCTACTAGTATTTTTATGTGGTTACATTTAGCTTTGTGGCATATGTACCTGCTTTGGATCTAATAAATTATATACATGTATGTAAATGTATACATTATTGTTAAACAGGCATACACCGAGCTGGGGAATGGAGAAAGAACTCCTACTTCAAATAACAGACAACTTACTAAACTGTCGGTTAAAGGAAGTTCCCATGGAGACGTTGGCCCCGGGGCGAGATGAGAGCCACAGCTTTTTTTTCAACATGGACCACAGGAGCATGAACTTAAAAAGATACAGAGAATGTTTGGTCAGTAAAAAGAGACCCGAGGAGCACCAGTGCGTGCCAATTCTCAGCAAATATTGTAACCACGCCAAACTTGTAGCTCTTAAAATATTGCGACTTCGCATGGAATGGCTGCCACCTTTGCTTGACAAAAACCCGGGACTGAAGGTGATACATTTGGTCCGAGATCCTCGGGGTTCTCTATTCTCTCGCATGTCCCGCCGGCTTAATATTTGCGACGTGAATTGCGAAGCAAACGTGCGTTGTTTTCACATGGCCAGAGATTTGCGGTGGAGGCGAAAAATGGAAGCAATCTATCCCGGTCGTCTTATTGAACTCAAGTACGAGTCCTATGCAGAAAAACCGCTCATGGAATTAAATAGAATTTATAATTTTCTTAATATTCCTGTTCCCCCCGATGTAGAAGACTGGGTTCAGGAAAACACGGACGCTTTTTTCGAAAGGAAAGGTAACTATGCAACAACGAAAGAAAACTCTTCGGCAGCAGCGCATGCGTGGGAGAGTCGCATACCTGTTGCCATGGCGATGGATATTGACAACGTCTGCGCAGACGTTCTTGAAGACTTTGGATACAGAAAAGCATCGGAGATATTAAAAGACCGCATTACCAAAGAAATAAAGAAAGAGGGCATGAAAGTTGCTGCATATTCACAAAAATCTGAAGATAAGGGAAACCCTCAAACTGCAAAGCCACCAAAAAAGCATGATGTTCCATCTATGGATAGACATGAAAGTGCGCAAAGAAAAGTTCCAAAGGCGCACGATAACAAAAGTCAATTTCAGAATATTCATATTCGATTGAAACCTTAGATTTATATATAGACCTACTTTCTGTAAACACAGTCCGTTAAGCTCCAATCTAATCTGTTTATTTAAGGATACTTGCCATAAAAACAACAAGGCAGTGCGAGATATAGGGATGAATAGTAGCATAAGTAGGCCTAATTTCTATAGGTAGGCCTACCCAATACACTCTTCTTCTTTTTGCCATTTGCAATTCATTAAGTCATATACTTTTCAAAGTGCTTCACATATAAAAGCAGGTTAAGAGCATACCACGGAAAAATGTTAAAAGATTCAAATCGTTTTTCACGTTTTATAGAACAGAATAGTTTTATTTTATAATGTAGGTCTGGCACCGGGTCTAATAAGGGCCTACATGTATAATACTGTGATCAAATATTATTAAAAATGAATTAGTAAATAATCAACTATCAATTTTATATTACGTCTTTGCTTGTCTGCTTTTTCTTTTTCTTTTCATTCTTTTTTCTTTTCTTTTTCCTTTTTTTTTGATAATAAATGTACACAGAACCCTTATGGTTTTTTTCATCTGAAAATAATTAGCAAAAAAACATTGTCAAGTAATAGTAATAGTCACAGAAACTTGAAAATTAAAAAAAGTATCAGCTGCAGGAGTATGGCCTAAACAGTGGGGAAGGAGGAAGAGTGAGATCACGCGAGGAAGTCTCCTTCTCAGGCTAACTAAATGCTAAAAGTCAGAACCATGTATATCAACACTGGCGTGTTAGTATTCATAAACATTCAAAGCTCTTCTTACATATATATAAACAGTTATAAGTATACACCATTCCATATAGCTTTAATGTAGAATATTTGAAAGTTGAAATCAATAGACGTATTGTGCTGACTATGATATATTTAATATACCATTTAGGTAAGTAGGCTACAGTGTATATCAGCCACACACACACACACACACACACACACACCTTCCGCTGCGAAGAGATTCTGGAAGTTAATTAGGGTGGTTTTGGCCTCTAGTTAATCTTTCTGTTTCTTATATTTAAGGCAACAGTTGGGAAATGAACGTAAAAAACTGAGGGAAAATGCGCGCGCAGTATCCGTGCAAATACCCAAAGAACCGCGTGGTTTGAGACACAATGAAAAGCAAATATATCTTTTTACTGAACAGTTGCATTACTGTTTTATTGTCTATGTTCAGTACTGAAGATACCGTCATTTAGGTTGCGTGTGTACATCTCGCGTGCCTCGTAACGTCTTTTTAATGCGAAGACATATTGGCTGCGTAAAAAATCACTTTACCGACCTCAACATTCCATGCATTATAATTCATTTGAATTTCACTGCGTTGAACTTACTACATGGTATTTTCTCCACGCATTGCACTAAATAATTTTGAAGCAACCTCGAAACTTTCTATTCCAATGCTGGACCAATAAAATATTGCAGTTTTATTCTATTATTTATATTTTGAACGCCACAAAGGTAGTAAGAAAACTATTGAATTAAAGCTTTCATATGCCAGAGGAAAAATATTTTACTTTATATTTAGTAAAATTTTATTGTATTATATTTTTCAGAAAATGAATATAGAAATTCGCTGTTTGTTATATTTTTTCAAAAACAGTAAAATAAGTTCTAGGCATATATTTACTGCCATAAATCCGTTGCACACTGTTAAAAGCTGACCTCTTACAATCAAAACATCTCAAGGGCAGTCTTCACAACATTAAACATCAATATTCTCTACCTAATATGTTAGACACCCGAGTACTTTAACATTAATGTCTTGTCATCGCACATGCGTATGGAGATATTATTAGTTTTCAGCAGCGAGCACGCAAAGAGAAAGCATGCAGTCACACAACTGGACTTCGTTAAACGGGCAAGACCGAGAATACTGTGTTAACGTTAACCTAATTTGGCTCACATTCCACGTAAAAGAAATGTATACTTGTTGCAAACATTGCGTTTGAAATCAACTCATTTGGCTACGGTGGTATTATTAGCTTAAACAGAATCTAGAAAGAAATCGGTGGTCAGATATGCGTTGTAGCCTATAGATACATGAACCCTCTACCCAGTGGCGGATTAAGGGGGGGGGGGGGGCAGGGCGGTCCTGAACCCCCTTCGATCTCTGAAAAAAATATGGTCGCCTCTTGAAATTAGAATTTTGACTAACTGAATCATAGTTCTTAACCGTACCAAATGGCACCCATCGCCCTCTAAAATATCAAAATTTCAGAGGGCCCTGAACCCAACGCCAAAGGGAAGGGGGGGGGGGCGGTTTTGCATCCGCGGACCCCCCTTCACATAATCCTGCATCCGCCCCTGCCTCTACCAGGGCGGCAGATATTATAGGCACATTTTCCACCTTTATCAATTGAATAAAGTTATGTAAAAAAAAAAATTCCACCAGCCACAATCAAAAGACTATATTTAGCCAGAGACATTATCAGTGAATATGTAGTGAAAAACCAATCTGTGACCCTGGTGGAGGGTAGCCTATAGGTACCTACGCAAAGTTGCGTAAGTCAGTAACTCTGCTCTCTGACGTCACTGTACTAACGCATTTCGCGGCAAATAATCTGGTGGCTAATGTTACGTTATTTCATCCCTTTGTCTGTAGTAAACGAAGCTTTAGGCTGATTTATGGCTGGTTTGCAGCAATTTATTTCGCGCACGCGGCGTATAATTCAACCACTTCCGCTCTTTTAAAATAATGTGCCCCTTTTTTTATTGTTTACTCATTTCAGCTTCATTTCTGTATCCGGTTTAGGCCTACACTGCGTACGTGAGGTGTCTTTCGTCAGAGGAGAGTCTGCGGTGAAGGAACAAAATCAGGGCTCTGTGTTAGATTTGGATTAATCTACAAATATAAACGCACGTTATTGTTTTTTTCTCTTCACATTATTACAGATTGTCGAAAAGGAAGTCTCGGTATATGCTCACCGTTAAATCTCAAGGTTCGAAAGCGCGACTCGCAGTGGAACGCAGGGTCACGCGATTTTAATCTAGCAGGGTAATAATTTTAACGACGGACCTATACACGCCAGGCGATCCATATAAAGCAGTACGGTGTTCATAATATACTCAGCGGCCTACGTCGTGACAAACATGTCGGAACAAAGGGACGTGAAGGCTCGGGAATCCACACGGACAAACTACTCGAATAACGAGTTCCCGCCATCGTATGAAAGCATTTTTCCAGGGAGTGTAATAGAAGTGGACGACGTGTTTGAGGATGAGAATTCTAGACCGTTCATACCCGACCGGGAAAGGTCGTACGAAATGAGAGATTTGGAGCTTGATTTAGTGAGTAGAGACCAAGTGGACGCTGCGGCGCTGGACAGGCGGCGAAGACGAAAGCAACAAGTTTGTATAACTACTGTAGGGATACTCATTGCTCTTATCATATTCGCGTTCACAATGGTGGTGCTAGCGTTTGTTGTGGACTACAAACAAAACCCAAATAACAATTCTACAATTATCGTGGATTCTTCAGGTCACAAGCATAGCAAGGACACATATTTCAGGACACGAAAAGCACGCAGTATTCATCTCACAAGGTTAAATCTTTTAGCAGACGACATCTCAATATCCGGGTTGTACATATATTCTCCAGTCCATGACAAACCGCATTCGTGATAAATGGACGGAGATGTGTGGATGATATATATTCGAATGGAGGGAAAGCTTCCAAAGTAAGGGTTTGCACAAAGTAAAGATAGAGACGATAGATAAGAGACGTTATAGAATGAAAAAGAAACCTTAGGTAATATTATTTCCAAGTTAGTCATAATAAAGGGTGGGCTGTGACTCACGCTGTTTTGAAAAAGTTTTAAACAACTCAAGGATGAGTTATTGTTAACGATAATATGAGGTTGTAAGATATGGGACGGAGATGAATGGATTTTTTTCTGAGAGAGAGAGAGAGAGAGAGAGAGAGAGAGAGAGAGAGAGAGAGAGATTCCCTGCAGTTGTACGTAAGGTAAACATGACATATTGCCATCCCCGTCAGTTGATATGTATAGAGATTTACAGGTCATTAACTTTGCGTGCTCTTCATTCGCTGTGAGGCGGTTCTGATACATCACTATATAAAGCGCTTTATATGTTTATATGATCATTAGTTTAGAGCGTCCTACTGTTTGGCCTGTCCCTCTGTAGGGCCTATCATCTAAAATAAATAAATAAATAAATAAATAAATAAATAAATAATAATAATAATAAAACAATCGGAAGTATTTTTCAATGCGCTATTTCCTAACCCATCCTACAACTTTTTTGCTCTCATTATCCTCAATTGTAATTGATTTATCTTAGATTATTTATTTATTTTTATTTTATTTACTTTTTTTTTTTTGGTGGGGGGGGGGGGCACTATGGGTAAATTTGATCTAGGTAAACTAAGGGTTCATGACGAAAGGTCCACATTTTCAGAAAAAGAACCCCCTTTTGCACTTGCTTGCTACGGGCCTGGTTTAAGTCAATAGAAACATTACTACATGTGTAAAACAAATGTAAATTATATATATATATATATATATATATATATATATATATATATATATATATATATATATATGCAAACAACATCAATTACATTATTTTTACACCCTGTGTGAATAAATGAATGTGTGTATGTGCGCGCGCCCAACATGTACGTGTATGTGTGCATACCTGCGAGGGTACATACGTGCATGTGTGTGTATGTGTGTGTGTGTTTGGTTTGCATGTCAAATTTGATGCAAACGAAACCATGTTGAATTGTTCAATTAATTATTTAATGTTTTGTTTTTATAGGTGATGTGAGAACGATTCTTACTTCACAGGCGGTGTTATAACAGAGGCAGCTACTATGATGACTTTTCATGGCATTAATAAATGGGAAATCCTGGAAAAGTTATAACTACGCACAGGAGAAATGGGGAATGTTACCTAGAAGGAAAAATGACTGGACAAGAAATATTTTTTCCTTCAAAAGACGACAACTGATAGCAACAGATACTTCGGTGGAAATGATGATGACAGATACTTACGCTCTTCCGGGGCCACATATGGATTGAGATATTCACAGATATGGATGTGTCTCTGGCTAATTCTATACAGATTTGTCTATTGTGAGCGAGAATTTATGCATGGAATTGACTTCATCCCTCAGCTGACCTCTAGTGTAGATGAACAGATACTTAGGCTGAAATAATACTAACTTATACTTAGGCTGAAATATTAGTGACGGATACTTAGGATAAAATAACAATAACTGATACTTAGGCTGAAATAATAGTGACGGATACTTATAATGAAATTATGACGGATACCTATAGACTGAAATAAGTTACTGATACTTAGGCTGAAAAAAATAATGACGGGCAGTTAGGGTAAAATAAAACGAATGGAGTCCTCTATTTGCATACATGTAACTGATGATCAGTTATCTCAATCTCTTAACGATACAAGGATTCTATGTTAACTTAATCAGTTTCATAAGCAGAATATTTTTCAGCTTGGAATAGACCTAACTTGAAAGCCTCATAAGCATTTTGCTTATGTACAAATAACGATCTTTGGACTGTAAACAGTTTTAGCTTTATTGCAATACTAACCACGTAAATCACAATACTTTAAAAGCCAAGTGAACAGTATTTTGAGCCTTGAGATCCATAACTTATAATTATTAATGTTTCGTTGCTACACGTAGGCCTATATAGATTTTTTTTACCATGAACACATATGAAACTGAAAATAAAATGAAAAATTCAACACTTAGTTCTAGAATCAGAAGTAATTCTGCCTTAGTCAAATTAAATCACTGATGTAGATATAAAAGGCTCTTTGTATATATGTAACACTCAATCGCATGCATGACAACGGACAAAGAAAATTGGTTGCTTAGATTCCTGCCGTTTGACACCGAGGAAATATATATAGACGACTAGCAGAGCGGTGAGTAGAAACCACAACCCATATATTATAGTAACTCTTTGTCTCAATTATTCATGTGTAAGTAATTGAGACGAAACAGAGATATGCAGGAAGGGTAAGAGCGAAAGCCACAACCATGAAGTTCTAAAATGACAACAAGCAAGACTAGTTTTGACAATGGCGGTAACTAGGGTTGAGGACACGGGTGGAATATGTACCCTTTCCTGAGCTGCCTGTTCTCTCCTTGTCCTCACCCTCCTCAAAAAATAATAAAAATATATTAATAAATAATAATAATAAATGAATGATTAAAAAATAAAAAAATAAAAATAAAAATGTTCTTTTCTACTGCTTTGTATTTGCCCAGCGATCCAAGATAATTTTCATCATCCTTGCTCCCCCCAGTATCCCCCTGTATCCCCCAGTGCAGTGCAAGTACAAGCGTACGGATTAACCTCCCGTAGTATTGTACCGAGTTGTATTTTAATAACGATAGTATGTGAATCATGCTGCCAGTGAAAGCACTCCTTGATACACTTATATTTTCCTTTCCAATATATGAAACTTCCGCTATATGAAACAGTGCCGTGTATTGTTATAAGAGGTGCTCGTGGTTGGGTTCGGTTTGGGTATAATGTGTTTTAAATTCTATTGACCCAAGTAATTGCTACCCTTGCGTCTGTTGCGTTACACGCTGTTTTGACACGACAGCTGCGCATTAGTCGTTCAGTTATAGATATCACACTAAAATCGTGTGTGTGTGTGTGTGTGTGTGTGTGTGCGTGCGTGCGTGCGTTTGTGTTTGTTTGTTTGTGTGTTTGGGTTTTGGTACAAGCAAAATTTTCTAAGAAGGTACAATAAATTTAGAGCATACAATATGACATATCTGTCATTTACTCCTAATCTATTTATATAATATCACTAGAATAGAGGGTATAAATATGTTGTTTAACCAAAGTTGTTTTAAGTAATGAGTTGATTAAATTGGATTTTTATGACTGACCATTAATGAGCTTACACATCAAGGGTGGTTCAAGTTCCAATCTTTTTCTTTAGATAATAGGGCCCATCTGTATAAATATTTTGAGTCTCCCTCTCACTCTCTCTCTCACACACACACACACACACACTTGCGTTACAATGCTTAGGCCCTACTTAGGGTTTTTAAATTTAAAAGTTCTCGTTAAATAACATAATTGTCTCCAACTTGTGAACAAAATAAATAAATAAATAAATAAATAAATAAATAAATAAATAATATACAATTCCAATTAACCGTACGCATGGGTGCACACATAGGCCTACACTTATCTTAGATCAACCCAGATAGACATATGCTGATCCTGTTGTTTCTTTTTAAAATCTTTTGGCAATTTTTTGGAAGCTTGAGATAGTTATCGTTAGTCAGGTACTTTATCACGTCAACTGGCCTTTTCAAAAATATCAGAGAATAACCTGAGCAGGCATCTTTCATCATAAGTATTCAACAACTGCTGGCGAGCTGCGATTTAGAGCGGTAGACCTACGATGGAATGCGGTAGTTGAGATCAGAATTCAGAGAAGTGGTAAATGACAAAGCACTGGTTGTGCCTATAAACTGTCATATTCATATTATAATTTTCATAATATGTAAAGCTGAACAATAACAAAACTAAAAATGCACCAGTCCTATTTAAATTTGGATCAAAAGTCAAATTTTGATCCAATATGTTGGTCACTATATAGGCATACAAAGAACGAACTGGTCCATCCCTAACAAAAAAGTCGCACAACGTCATTAATTTTTACGGTTTGATTGCAACAACACTATGTATGTATGTATGCACCACCCAGATTGCTTAGTGTAATTGTGAAATGTTAAGTGGGTTGTTGGTGCCGCTACATATAGCTAATATATTAGGCCTATATGGACATAAACCTACGCCAACATTTCATGACCTAACCCATTCTTGACCTTCAGACTGACGTCATTTACTGAGAACGAGGCTGGAATTAGGGGAATCCCCTTGGAAATTTCGACGATTTTGGAATATTTTGTGTTCTTTCTTGCTCCGCGTAGGTTATAAAGTAGAGTTGATCCAGTTTTTATACCAGGCGAGACAAGGATATCGAGGCAAGAATGTTTATATGATGTTTTCATTTTAATGAAAAAAGTTAAAACATTTCTGTAGGTCTGTCAAACAAGGAAACGAAAATAACTTTGAAGTAGGCCCCTATCGATCGATGTACTGAGTACTGGTATGGGACAATCAAACATGCATGCATAAAAATGGAGAAAAAACAGAACTAACTTGTTGACAATTAAGTTTCAAGGTTTATTCCAGCACTATCATGGCAAGTTCAACTCTCCGACAACAACAGACATCGCAACGTTACAGATATGACTTCTGTGTGGTGTATTACAACACGGATCAAGTAAGGGGGAACCCAGATTACGAGGACGGAAGTAAGAGCTTAAAGTTTGTTAAAACATTAGTGAAACTCTTAGAAAAGATCACATGGCCTTATGGTAATAATGCAAGAAAGCTCAGAGGCTACTATGCAGATCGTGATTTGCTCCCTGGGCGGATGATCATAAATGAACATTTTCAAGTCCTGGGGGAGTCCCGCTACACGATCGTTGTTTTGAGTCCAGCCTTCATTCGAGATTGTTGGTCAGAATACGTCGCCCAGTCTGCATTCCGGGAGTTGATCGATACGTCACGCTTTGTGCCCCTTGCCGTCCATGGCGTTCAACCCACCGATAGCGGCATCCCGAAACAGCTGAATGTCGCATCCATAGTATATTTCCGCCAAGGAGAAAGCCCTGAAGAAGATGAGAGCGCCTGGTCCAAGGTTAAGAAAACTGTGCTGTGTGAAAATCCACGACAGAGAGACTTAGATGAACAAGTAGGAGCTAGTGGGCCGATAGTGCCAGACAGTGGAGGCTCTGGTAAGATTTGCATGAAATTGTTTACCTCCACTGGCAGGCATATTTCACTGTTCAAATGATGTTATTTTGGTTCTGCCTGAGTAGCTGTAAGTAATAATATGTGATAACCAAAGGTCTGATTGAATTAATTTGAGATTTGCCTGGAATTTTATCCTGTTTTTCCCTGGAAAAAAATTTATAGTAGACTTACAAAGAGGGCTACCAAATATAAGAAAAAAGGAAAATATCAACAGAGGAAATAATAATGCATGAGACTTAATAATAATAGGCATGCTTAGTATGCAGTCCATGATGCTGTCATTCAAGGGGTATGGAAATTATCTGATCCGATGTGTGTGTGTGTGTGTGTGTGTGTGTGTGTGTCCTGGTATTTGTGAAAAATATAACATAACGAATACAGACATTTTTCAAATTTACCATTACATTTTACTTTAAAAAAATGTAAATAATATATTTCATAAAGAAAGAGTTAATAATATATACGAACCTTTAAAAAATTTCTGGTGAGAATTACTTTTCCTTCTTGTGGAATCTTTCACCAGTACCAGTTCACAATTAAATATATATCTAATTTCAGCTTCAGTTTACAGCAACATACCTAATGAAGAGGTGGCAGGTGGGTGTGGCTACCAGCAAAGACCACGTGACAGTTCTGACTCCTCTCGCTTTGATCCTGTTTCCATGGGGGACACTGCCCCATTACCTGGACACCAACGGGGCAATAACTTCCGAAATGTAGGTGTACACTTTCAACAAGAATACAGAACGCTCATGGTGAAACTGGTATTTTTATGATATTTTTAGTGTAACATAATTTTTTATATAAAAAATTAATGACAGAATTTATGAAGTTGGACAGAAGTAGATGTTAAGTTAATGACTTAACGTTAATCTCGTTTTAAAGAATTATTTGTATGTGATTTATTTCAATAAGTCAATGAAGGAATTTAAAAGTTTTCTTTTTATAAATTTTTCTAGGGTCCATCTACTCCAGACGTGGAAGACCAGGGTGAGCTTTATATTTTTGATCAGAATAAACTTATGGCACCAGCAGATCCGATCTATCTCTGCAAGGATTTTCAAAGTGCAGCTTAAGTGTCTGGCATGCCCCCTTCAGAAGCTAGGGGGTAACTTACTTCAGCGTGCGCTTGACTTAGACCCCATTCCCAGAGATTAGATTGATCCAACAAGATCGGCCTAACTCCCTGAGGGTTCACGCTAAATAGCTGTCAGCCGAGCGGTCACAAAAGTTAATTACCCCCTTACATCTTGTAGTAGGCGGGACGGACATTTAAGCCGGATTATCTGACAGTAATCTAGTGAGACTCCCCACGGAGATATATCGATCAAAAATCTATGGGAATGTGCCCTTCGTTACCTCTTAGCCGGTTGAGGAAGCATGTCAGACTATTACGCTGATTGAATTAATTGGACTATAGCGAGAGTCCAAGCAGAAATACATTGATCCTACTGGTATGATTAGTTTATTCTGATATAGTTTTAATATAAAATGAACATTTTGGGTTTACAACTTAATCCAAAGTAAGTGAAATCTGCCTCATGCAGGGTATGCAAACCTGTTATGTGAAATACTATATAAACATTTTCTTATGATTTTATGCCCAGTTGGATTTTGCATATGCTGGGTTATATGAACAATGGCACAATTTGTGACACTTCCCAACTATGGTAAAGTTTTACTTTTAATAGGAGATAACATGTAAGAGATTTTTACTTAATAATGGACAGCAATGGTGACCCAAGTGGTTTTCCTAGTTAATCAATCAATTAATTTATTATTATTATTATTATTATTATTATTATTATTATTATTATTATCTCTGATTTTGATAGGTGAGGGGTACACAGACAGCTACCAGTCCGTACATCCTAGCCCTACCCATCATGGCAACAACCTTGACCCTGCACCCAGTTTGTCTTACTCTGCTCGATCACCTCTTAGTGTGAGAGATGTGTCACTTCCCACGTTGGATGTACCCCCTACCTACTCCTTGGGCGATCTAGAAGATGACCTTGCCAGTGCCCAGATAAGTGCACAATCTGACAATCTGGGGAATGATGCTGACAATCAAGGGCAAGTCCCAGGCAACGATGTTTCAGAAGATGAGCCAGTGCCAATTGATTGCGTTAGAGGAGATCCAGGGGCACAGTTGGGAAGCAATCATCCACAAAACACACCCGAGGCTGCTGCTGATAATGAGAATGCGCAGAATGAACCTTCTTCGCCAGAACAGACGATCCCACCAGGCCACATTCCCATGTCTTTGAACCTGCAGGCAGGCGAAGACAGCTCTGAATTCAACACACGTGAGACCTCAGCACCAAGAGACATGGGGCAACTGTTACGTGAAATCCCACAAGCAGAACCCCAATCAAACCCTGGAAGTATTGACATGACTGTAGTGAAGAGCCCGCCACCTGTTCCAGAAGAATGGACTGCTAAGGCGGAGGAGGATGGACATCAGGGTGGGAGTGGAGAGCTGCCAGAGGGGGGCGGGGCTGAAGGAGATGCAGTGCAGGGCAGTGTACATGTCACCATGCGATGGAACCCATTACAAGGAATACGAAATACTTTACGCTCAATAAGTCAGTCCTTGAGTGATAATCTAGGGCTTTGAGAAAGCACCTGGTGGTAAATTCCAGTTGTAACTGTTTTGTGAAAAATGAACTTAAATTGGGGAGAATGTTCTGTGCCCAACGCTGACATCTCTTACTCTCTTGACTGATATGAGACACCAGATTGTTAACAGCTATGTCATGTATAACATGTTTGTGTGTGTGGAGAGAGATCGAGAGACTCTCTTTTCTCTTTATACTTACATGAATTTTCTGTATATATATACTTGTATAATTTTTTATTCAACCAAGAATATATATATATATATATATATAAGTCAAAACAAGTCATATAATGATTTGAATGGTTAATTATTCTTCGTAGACATTTTTGCCTCTTTCAGGCTGTTCAGGCAATAAAACTCTTGAAGTGTTCTACGAGAATTGAGGCATGTTATGTTCAATGTAAATGTTGTGGGATTTTACCTAATTTTGAAAAAGAAATAAAATCAACTGTTGTGTACAATTGAAGGTTAAAGGTTAATCAACGTTTGTTTGATAATAAACGACCATATCAATGTTTTCAAAATACAGTGTTTGAAATGGATACCTTTATAATGCAAGTATTTGCTTTTATCATTCACATTAAAGGGATAAAAACTTTCCTGGGATAAATTACCAATGGTTAATGATTCCATTTCTACATTCAAAGTTAGTCCCTATTTTTTTTAAAAAAAAATTTCTATTTTTTTTTCTGTAATAATCCCTTAAGAGATTATTAAAAAGTATAGCCATCTATTGAGGTCACGTGGTTGGATGGCAAGCACAGATTTCAGATTTATGCTAGAAATGCCGTTTTTGTGGTTAAATAGAATATATTATATTTCAATGAGTTGTTTACGTGCATTTATTGTGAAATGTAGATCTCATACGAAGAGATGTTATCCTGTACCTGAATCAATAAGAAAAAGACGGGAGGTTGCGATGAAGTATTTTATTTATTATGCACCTATTAAGGTCGTAGGGTTAATGGGTTTGTACACAAAATGACATATATTTTGTTCACTGGCGTAGAGGTCTTTTTATAAGTCCCAAATTCCTTAAATCATGAAACTGCTCTTTCATTTTGGCGAAGCAATATCTCAATATCTTCTAAATTATAGAAAAACTTAACCATTATATAGAGCTTGTTTTTTAATTATCTGCACCTGGTTTTTAGAAGGTGGTATGGGTAGGACTTTTGCAGTCTATCCAGTCCATTGCACAATTCTTATTTTTCCTTCAGCCATAGTTAAAATGTGTTTAGGCCTACACCACATGCCCAGAAAATTAACTGTTTGATGAATTGTCTTCAACGGCTGCCCCCCCCCCCCCCCCAATTTTTCTCAACCTTATATTCTGCAGTGTGATTCTGCTTTAATCAACATACGAAAAGTTTTCACCCGTCCTCCATATTCCGCCACCAGAAGATGCCCTCTATGGTCAATGGCCACAGCCACTGGCCGCTCGACTTGAGGTTTACTAACTACGTGTCTCAAGAACTGACCATCCGAGTCCAAAACGACGACCCTGTGGTTCCATTGGTCTGCTGAACAATAACAAAACTAAATATGCTCCGCGGTAATTTAAATTTGGATCAAAATCCACAATTTGATCCAATTTCTCAATATAAGGATCTATTTAAAACATGGCTGTGTCTGTTTCGCCACTTACTGAACGCTATAGAGTGAATTCCCATTGTTTTAGATCGATCCATTTTGATCGACCTGACTCGATCCCTGGGTGTTCACGCTAAATTGCTGTCAGTCGAGCGCGCATGATAGTTAATTACCCCCTTACAGCTTGTAGTACTCGGGGACAGACGCATAGGCTCTTATGGGCCATGGAAGCCTACTGGTCCACCGCCGCATAGCGTCATTCTACGGTTTGATTGCAACAACACAACTTTTGTGTATGCACCGCCCAGAATGCTTGGAATAACTGTGAAGATGGTAAAATGGGTTTTCTATGTCATTTTTTCCATATAATTTATGCATTATAATATAATGGATCATTATATTTACCCTAGGTTTCAGAGTCCGGCTCGATCTTGATTTCTTATATAACCCACATCAGCAACACCGTATAGGCCAGCACAGGATTCAAACGACTGCGCATACGCGAAGAGTGCGCTGTTTGAAATAAACAAAAAGTGAAATTGACAAAGCCTGCCGGTGTTTACCGTCTGGTTGATTTGATTAAATTTGCTTTCTGGTGTTGTTTTGAGAAATTATATTAGATATACATATAGACCTATGTTTTAAAAAGCAAATCCATAGGACTTTCCTTTGATTAACATTCATTTTGCGGTCATTGTAAGGGGGATTCCCTTCGCATTTATAGTGTTATATGTGGCCCCAAAGGGATTTTCTACCCCTCCCCCACTCTTGATCATGATTAATAAAATTCTTCATCGGGCAGATTGAAATTTATACTGCAAAATGCATTAAAAATCGTAGGAATGTTAATTGCAGATAATGCTGTAAGGATATTCTTATCGGGGGCGAACTCAGCCAATATAAAATTTTTAACTTCGTCTTACGATTTTGGAGCGCCTGTTCTAATTTTTGAAAGCGAGGCAATGGAACCAAACAATACGATACAATTTTTATAATCTGCAGAAGCGACTAAAGAATAATTTGCTAGTTTTGATGATTATGCAAAAATGTTATGGCGTAAACGGGAGTCGTCTTATTCTAGCTGAGGTTTAGATGGTGTGAAAACGCATAATCATTTAAGGTGGGGAAAGTAAAGCGCCGGAGTCGTCTTATATTCTAGCTGAGGTTTAGATGGTGTGAAAACGCATAATCATTAAAGGTGGGGAAAGTAAAGCGCCGCGTCGCGCCGTAAAGCATCTGAGCGAGATAGATGTTATATATATCACTTGTAGTTGAGGGGAGGGAGGAGGAAACAAATTTTAAGATTTCTTACCTTAACTTTGTCTATTGTTTTCTACTTCTCTTTTCTCTGTGAACTTCACGTGCAGGCTTCACGGAAACTGGGAATATTCTGCTTAGGGTTCTTCTTCTGTGTTTATGTCACGTGACATGAGCCAACGTTGCCATTGGCCGGAAAGTCAGATTGATTGACATGAACCGTATTGTGTCATCTTCTCGGTCTCTGGAGCCAGTAGGGCGGCTGTACATCTGCTGCTTTTTCTCTTGCGCGCTAGTTAATGGACGACCCCCGCATACCTTGGATTATAAACTAATTTATCCCATGCAAACGATAAATTTGTTTGTAATCTCGTAAAAATGGATATTTTTAAATAGAGTTTATAGCCGGGCGTAAATCAAAAGGCGACTCTTTTATTATTGTGATATGCAATAAAAGATACGATATAATAGGTTCTTGTCGATGGCCTATTTATTAGCTTTATTGATTTTTTTTAAGTATTCGGAGATTAAAAACACGAAAGCTGAATGGTTTCAAATCGAGGCACCACGTATTAACCATGGAAAAGGTCAAGGACGTTTCAGATCGCTGACGGTGCGCGCGCCATCTGGTGTTAAGTCCGCGAATGACCGTTTGCAGTAACTGATTGTTGAGTTGCGATAACTGATTATTGAGTTGCTGTAACTGATTGTTGAGTTGCGGTAACTGATTGTTGCGTTGCGGTAACTGACTTTTGAATCGTTTATTGATTGTTAGATTTTGACGAATGATTAAAATGACCAAAACTAATTTAGTAGAATTAAGTTTAGATAGTTAAAGTAGGTTTTGGCTGTTAAATAGTGCCGATAGATTGTTGAATTGACGTCTGCATTTTTTGCGTGAATGGCGTTCCATAAATAAGTTCTTACAGACGGCCTATTTATTAGCTTTATAGATTTTTTTAAATGTATTTGGAGATTAAAAACAAAAGCTGACAGGTTTCAAATCGAGGCCCCACATATTTGTTCGTGTGCTTTTTAGATTAAAAAATGAAAACGAGGCTGGGGGAATCCCGGTGGTTATCCCCGTATTAAAAATAGATGTTGACATTTGGGGATTTTTTGTGATTCTGTGAAACATTGAGTTGTAGGTTATGATAATTAAGAAGTAGAGTTGTTACAGTTGGAATACCAGACCAGACTAGGCTCACGTGGCAAGAATGTTTAGATGTTTTCATTAACAATGTTTTTGTGGGTCACTCAAACAACGAAGGAAACGAAAAAACTTTGAAGTATCGATTGTACATGTATTTAAATGGCAAAATAACAGAACTAACTTGTTGACAATCAAATTTCAAGCAAGGTTTATTTCAGCACACTGCCATGGCAAGTTCAACTCTCCGACAACAGCAGACATCCCAAACTTACAAATATGACTTCTTTGTGCTGTATTACAACACGGATCAAGTACGGGGGATCCCAGATTACGAGGACGGAAGAAAGAGCTTAAACTTTGTTAAAACTTTAGTGAAACATTTAGAAAAGATCACATGGCCTGATACAAGAAAGCTCAAAGGCTACTATGCAGATCGTGATTTGCTCCCCGGACGGATGATCATAAATGAACATTTTCAAGTGTTGGGGCAGTCACGCTACACGATCGTTGTTTTGAGTCCAGCCTTCATTCGAGATTGTTGGTCAGAATACATCGCCCAGGCTGCATTCCTTGAGTTGATCGGTACGTCACGCTTTGTGCCCCTTGCCATCTCTGGCGTTCAAATCCCGAAACAGCTGAATGTCGCATCCATAGTATATTTCCGACAAGGAGAAAGCTCCGAAGAAGATAAGTCTGCCTGGTCCAAGGTAGAGAAAACTGTGCTGTGTGAAGATCCACAACAAGTAGGAGCTAGTGGGCCGATAGTGCCAGACAGCGGAGACTCTGGTAAGATTTGCATAAAATTGTTTACCTTCACCGACAGGCATATTTTACTGTTCAAACGATACAATTTTGGTCCTACACGTAGCTGTACGTAATAATATATGATAACCAGTAAAAGGTCTGATTGAATTAATTGGAGTTTTGCCTTGAATCTAAACCTTTTTCCCTGAAAAAAAAAAAAAAACTTTATAGCAAACTTACAAAGAGGGCTGCCAAATATCAGGAAATGAAACATTTGTGATAAGTAACTGTGCACTAAAAATGCATCAATGGATGTGCATAGCTGTAACTTCTAAGGAAAATATCAACAGAGTTAATAGAAATACATGAGACCTGATAGGCGTGCTTAGTATGCAGTCCAAGATATGCTATCATTCATTCAAGGGCAGTATGGCAATTATTTGATCTGATTAGTATGTTCGTGTGTGTGTGTGTGTGTGTGTGTGTATACTGTTATTTGGGAAAGATATAAAATATGCTGGGTTCTAAAACAATGCCACCAATTATGACGCTTTTATCAAGTTATAGTAAGGTATTACTTTTAATAGGAGATGTTATGTAAGAGATAAAAACAAATTTACATAATAATGGACATAATGGTGCCTCCAGTGGTTTACCTAGTTTTAAAATAAATAAATAAATAAATAAATTATTATTATAATAACCTCTGATGATTACAGATGAAGATTACACAGGCAACAACCAGACCTTAC